CATATGAACTTGCTTGATTGTGTGAATACTCTGAATCTACTGTTTATATGTGATGAACATGATGAGATTGAGAAATGAATCATGTTAGGCTTCTTGGGTAATCACCATTGTAGTATTGGATGCTAGAGATAGATTCAAGAACCAATGAAATTAATCTAGGATTCTTGTGCTTAATGAGCTTAGATTTATTAACTTTCAATTTGTTGGGTGCGGAAGATTAATAGGGAAGAGTAGGAAAACATAGCCTGAGAAGGTATGTTTGACACTTTAGAGAGTTCGATTTACAATCAATGCATGTGAATATGAATTTAGTTTAATTCTTTAGGTTTAACCCATGGAGTCCGAATGAAGTCAAAACCCTACCCGTTTGTTTGAATTGATTTTATCCGTGTTTTACATCTTGCGTTCATAGTTAAAGTTTAGTTTAGCAATTTTTATTTTAGTCTTAGTTTAAATTGCTCCCATTAATCCAAAAGAATTTGATTGCTCCAACTTGAGAACAGTAGGAAACTTAGTGCTTAGCGAACAATCCTCGTGGGAACGATACTCACTCATCACTCTATTACTTGAGCGACCAGTATACTTGCTACATTTGCATGTTGTAGGAAACACGCATCAAGAGGAGGATTATGGGATCAAGGGCTAGCAATCGTAGTGGAGATGGGGGAGACAAAGAGAACACTAGTGCTCCATCTGATCCGTTTTCCATAAGCAATTGTATTGACATCTTGACGGCCATGCAAGTACCCATAGAGTTTTACATGCCGGTTGTAAAGTACTTATATCAAAATCTAGGGTGGCGGGAGGTATTCGTGAAACTCCCGCCCGAAGAAAAGGCTACTTGGATTTATAACGACTTTCGCAATTTGTAGATGACATTGTATGTCCTAAGTGTTTGCCCATAGTTTTGTATGTGCCAGTGGGCACTTGTCCTTTTATGGCTAAATCAAACTTCTGTTCAGCAGCTTGATTTGAAAATGTCCCCAAATGTCTGCTACTGTATGAACTTATTCATTGTGCTGTTGTTTTATGTGAGATTACATGTTTCATATGAGTTATGGATTGTCATTAGAATTAAATATTGACTGTTAAATTTTGCTAAGTACTACAACAACTGTTAATTGTTGATCAATGTTTTGCAAATATGCAGATTTAAATGGCATCGTCTAGCCGTACAGGAAGAAGACTACGTTCTGCAAATGAGGAAGAAGAAATACTGACAGATATAACCATTGCACTCTGCGGTGTTGCCGTGTTAGAAATAGCAGGGTTTCAACTATGACATACATCCATATTAATTGGTCATGAGTACATGTTGGAAGTACTCAATGGTCATGCTAATATGATCTTTGACAAGTGCCGCATGGACAAAGGCTATTTTACATACTTATGTTACATTTTGGCACAACAAGGGAAATTACAACCAACTAAGAGGACGAGTATGGAAGAACAAGTTATGATATTCTGACAATCCAAACGATGACGGAGGATTTCCAACATTCAGGTGAGATGATCTCTAGATATGTTGGCGAAGTTTGCGAGGCGATATGTGAGTTGAAGACAGAGTTTATCAGGCCACTTGACTTCAATGATGTTCCATGGGAAATATCAACCAACCGAAAATATTGCCTTTTCTTTAAGGTACTTCTTCATTATGTTTTCTATTAGTAGATAGTTAAGTTCATTGTGTTATTAATGTTGATAGTCGGTTAATATGACTAAAATTCAATTTTGATGATAGGACTATATTAGAGCCATTGATGGCACATATGCATACGCTTCAGTTCCACACGAATTTGGCGATAGGTACCAGAATCACAAAGGAACGTTGTCACAAAATGTAACGACTGTATGCGACTTTAGGATGATGTTCACTTATGTCGTGACTCGATGGGAAGGATATGCGCATGATTCAAGAGTTTTAAATTCAATTCTTGATGATCCTAATTCTGGATTCCCACATCCTTCACCAGGTATAAGTATTTTCTTGACATATTATAGCATATTTGCTCCACTGTTGAGGCCTTGGAATTCAAATAACATGTGTGATTTTATTATAGGGAAACACTATTTGGTGGATGCAGGTTATGAAAATAAATAGGGGTTCCTCGCCCCTCATAGGCGAGTGTCTTACCATATTTCTGATCACTGCCGTAATCGAAGGGGGCCACAAGAATTGTTTAACTATAGACATGCATCACTTCGCAATGTTGTCGAGAGGACCTTTGGTGTTTTAAAAAGACGGTTCCGTATTCTAGATGGAATGAACAATTACCCGTTGGACAAACAAGGGAAGATTGTTATGGCATGTTGTGTACTTCATAATTTTATCAGAATGTACAATATAGAGGACCCTATCTTCGAACGGTATATTGAAAATACGGGTAATGAGCAAGTATATTGTGATGGCCAAAATGGGGCAGAAGATAACGGAAATGGAGAGGGACCGAGTCAACTGCAGCAAGGTATTATAGACAACATGACGACTGTATGGGATAACATAACGACTGAACTGTGGGCAACACATATGACCATGTCGTAGTTGTTAATGGACTATACGTGTAACAACAATTCTAAGGGTTGATAATTGGTACATTTGTTATATATGTATTAATGTGATGTTTTTAAACAGTTTGATTACTACTTGAAATTAATATGAGGGGTTTTTTTTTTTTTAAATACTTACTGGTTACGAAATTACCAATCAAATGTTTCATATTATTAAAATGTAAATTGATAAGTTTTAAGGTTGTAATTATACATTATTTTAACAAAATGCACAAAAATATTATATTAATAAATCATTTATAAAAAAATATAGGCCGAACGACTTATGCATACCCAAGGTTTGTTGAAACGACAAGTTGATACCCAAAAGGTTTTGAAACGACAAATGGATACCTTCCGTTATGTTCTGTTAGTGATTTTGGTTAGATAATAGTGAAAAGACTAAAATACCCTTGAAAGTTTAATTTTTAGTTTTTTATAAATTTAAAAACTTCTAAAAAACCCCCTAGGTTTGCTAATTTGACTAAACAGCCCAATATATAAAAATTTTATAACATAACAAAAACACCCCCGCCACCCTCGCAGTGCCAGATTCCGGCCACCACCGCCGGAATCTGGCCGGAAAATTGCGTTACGACACAGACCCATCGGATCTGTGTCGTAACGCGTAGATCTTTCATTTTCCGGCAAGATCCGTGGCTGATATGGCCGGAATAGACCAGATCTACGGCCAGATCTGGCCGTCGAGACCGAAAACTTGTCGAAAAATTGTGTTACGACACAGACCCATCGGATCTGTGTCGTAACACGTCGATCTGGCGTTTTTCGGCCAGATCCGTGGATGATCTGGCCGGAAAACGCCAGATCCGTGGATGATCTGGCCGGAAAACGCCAGATCTGGCCGTCGAGGCCGAAAAAGGCCAGATCGGTGTGTTACGACACAGATCCGACGGGTCTGTGTCGTAACACAATTTTCCGGCCAGATTCCGGCAGTGGTGGCCGGAATCTGGCACTGCGGGGGTGTTTTTGTTATTTTATAAAATTTTTATATATTGGGNGTGATAATTACAGCAAGTGAAAACATATATATTTTTGTTGTTGTTGAGAAGAGAGGAGAGTGAAGCGTAAGAGGAATGGGTTTTTTTAAGCTTGGTTTTGATAGAATTACAATGAAGGATCATTTTGGATTTTTGTTTCAGAAATTAAACAAAGAATCAAAATGTAAGATGAATATTGAAGAATGAGAGATGGGAAAACTGCATCAAATAGAAGAAGCAATTTAGAAATTTATTTTTGAATGATTCTAGTATTGAAGGAAAGTAACGGTTACTGGCGGGAAAATCTCGTTGGTTATTAACTAACTTAATATTAGCTTTTCCAACTCACTAAAATGAAAAAAAATTATTAGAATTAGTGATTCTTTCCTCTTAAACTTTATTACTTAATTTATGGTGATTTAAAAGAGCCTTAAAAAAACATTAATCTCTTTAATTTGAGTTTGATCAATACCGTTATTGAATTGATATTCGTTATTTTATATATTAAAATATAGAGTAAACAACTTTTTCTCACCCAAGGTTTGCCTTAATGACATTTTTCCATCCAAAAAGTTTCAAAATATCACTTTCTCATCCAATGTTTATATTCTGTTAATACCCAAAATACACTTCATTTTCTTGGCTGACGTGCGAAAAGTTACCAAAAGACAGGGTAATAGGGCTTTTGTAGAGTGGAGATCGATAGATCGAATGGTGGTGACCGATTGAATATTCACCACTGGAATTAGTCAAAAATTATCTAAGAACAAAAAAACTTAGCTTTGCTGTGGCTAGCAATTGACAAAAAATCAAGTGTCAAAGTGAGAGAGGGTTTCTTAGAGAGGAGACCGGAGATTCAAATAGCAGTGACAGAGAGCATTTTCGATGCGGGAATCACATTGTTTTAAAACCCGGACCGAAGGGCAACCTGTTTTGCTACTCGGGTCACGGGTCAACCGATTGGATCAATGACGTTGGCGACAATTTTATTTTTAAAAAATTACATATTAATCCCTTAAATTTTAATATATTACAAAATTCTCCCAAAAAAGTTCAAATTAATACCTAAATTTTTTATTTATTTCAAAAATGCCCCAAAAATACTAATTAATCCCTAAACTTTTGACATATCTTTAAAACACCCCTATAAAATTACTAATTAACCCTTATAATTTTAAAATATTACAAAAACCCCCTAAGACCTGAACCGGACTGGAGAAACTACCAAATCCCGATCCAATCGGTCCAACCGGCCAGTCCGATCCAAATTTTAAAACAAAGGGGAATCGGTTGTAAGTAATAACAAAATGTTAACTTTATATGAAAAAGTGGTATTTTGAAACTTTTTAGGTGAGAAAGGGTCATTAAGGCAAACCTTGGGTGGGAAAAAATCGTTTACTCTTAACATATATGACAAGTAATAATTGTGTCATGAATAATTCTTTTGCAATGAAATTTGATATGAGAGCGCCATAGAATTGTTCTATCAGGAAGCTTAAAAAAAGCGTAACCTTTCCAATGAAAATCTCAGCCGTGCTTTCATTGTCACTATAATACACATATAAGATCCACACAAAGAGAAAAGATAGGACATTCATAACTTATACACTTGATTATATTACACGTTATTTGGCAGCGCAATTCACTGGCCCAAGATATTGGATATCGACTTGTTGACTATTTGGAACAGCTCTTCCCTGTAAGCAAAGAAGCACAAAACATGAGTCAGGGAATGACACTAAAGAAAAATTATACAAATCATAGACTTCTAAAACATAAAATCGTAGTTGCTATTTTCATGAATATCATGAGCTGCAAATACGATTACCTGTCGGGTTTGAACAAGAGATAGCGGTATACAAACCACTGAAAAGCAGGGAGACAAGTTTGAGTTAATAATAATGCAAAAGATGAGAAGCATGTATTATTCAAAATAACAGAGACAGAAATGAATGGTTTAAAAGATCTTTTCCCGTTACCAGCAAATATTCTAAATACGTATTTCAATACTTACCGTAGAGAACAATATTCCGATGAATTCTAGTACATTTGGGATGAGTGGCACCTTGTCAATGGCCTGTTCATATCAATATGAAAAGCAACTGTTACTATCTGAAGTTCTACAAAGCTGAATGCAAGTAGTCATAAGCATGTCTTGTAAGAGGCAAAAAAAAAGTGAAAGATGTCTATGACAAAAATATTATCAGTGCAAATGCTATGTAATTCATTCCAGAAACGTTGACATTTCGAATTTCTCAAATCAAAAACCAAAGAAAATAAGGAACTGAAGGCAATAAACCTCCCATCTTCTCAGTCGCGAAAGAAGACAATTGTTGTATGAGAAATGGCAGATGTTTTCAGTAGCTAGTTCATGTCAATTCCTTCTACCATCAATTCTAATACTTCTAGTCAAATGGATTTTAAAGTAATTTCTCCAACATCTCAAACACTTAACATATGTATTTCCCATGATTGTAAAAGTAAAGAGTTCTGATTTCTGAAGATTAATTTGTCATAAAGTTTAAGATTAAGAGATCAGGAGATTACAGTAACAAGATTTACTGAAGCCCATACTCCCACAATCGCGGCAAACCCCAAACCAATCAGTCCCAGCCGATCTTCAGAGTTATCCCACTGTTTCAAAAAATTCAAATCCATTTAAAAAAATATCAATTTGTGTTTGAAACAAAAGCAATATAATCTTTTACTTCTCAAAAACACAACTAACTTCAACTTGGCTGAAGGCGATAAAAGAGTACTCACAACATTTTGCACAGACTTAACAATAGTAAGGGACGATGAAGAATCAGAGCTTTCTCCAGTAGCTTTCACAACAACACAAACACGGTTTTGTCTCTCTGTGGAAAAAAAAAAATGACAACAAAACAAACAAACAAATCAGCAAAGGCAGTGAGTGGAACATTGAATTGAACTTAATGAACTCTAATGCCTCACTTTGATATCTCATTTACAAATCAAAATATAGGGTTTGCAAGCACGGCATTATTCAGTTTATACTTCCAATAGTTAATTCCAGCCCTTGAGGGTTTCACCTTCTGTCAAACTTTTATGACCTTAACATAAATCAAAGTCTAAATTATTAAAAGAAGAACCACTAGCTTATGAATTTTTGCTCCACTTGATATCAATTTCGAGCACCGCAAATCATCAAATTAATATTTAGTTTCGAGCTCAACTCTTTCATCTTTACAATCCGGCCTAAACTTTCCATGTTTTTTCACTTACCAGTAGTTACACAAATTAATTAAAAATATACTTAGTTATCCATATTCCAATAGTCGTTCCAAAACTTAAATTGATCATATGAACACAAATCTCAATTCAAAATCCAAACACTACTCAAAACTAAGCTAAATCTCCAACGATGTCAAGTTTTCCTTTTAAATTACAGTATCCTATTGACAATATCAACATACATGCATTAAAAAAAAAAAAATCAAAGAAACTGCTACAAAATGTCAATAAAATAACAAAGAACATGATTAGGAACTGATTGGTGACCACAATTCAATCGAAGAAAGTATTATTTAAACCAAACTATATATATATAGCTGCTTCAGAGTAGATAGAGAAATATCACCTTTAATGGGAGATAATGGGAGCTTTTGAAGAGTTCTGAAAAGGGTCTTTCTACCTTGAACCAACAATGGTGGAGGCAAGTTTGCAGTAATGGAAGCCATGAATACCTGAAAGAAAATACAAAATCAGGAGCATAAAAGAATAATTTTTATTAAAAAAAATTATCAATAAAAGCTTTATCAAATGGGTTACCCAAGAGTGGTCAAAATTGATAGAAAAACATAAAAAACAAAAATAAAAAGCAAAGGTTTGGATACCAAAAGAGACAGAACTAATTGAAACCTGCTTAGTGGCTGGAGTTGCACGGAGAGTAGAGAGAGAGGAAGTCTATAAACACCACAGAAATGAGTTTGGGCTTTTTGTGATGTATTATTTGAGCCCAGGCCCTTTATAATTAGAGAAGTTTTTTGGCTTCTATTTCTCTGCTAAATTACGACAAACTTTTTTTTTTTAATTTATTTATTAAAGTTGTATTTTTCATTAAACAACAACGGTATGTCCACAACCTTCTTTCAAAACCCTCAACACGGCAATTTATTATTGGTTAGCTCACAAATGGGTAAACATGACTCATACAAGCAGACGTGATTTATTTTACGAACTGATTAATTACGAATTGTCATGTCGAGAGTTATGAGAGAAGATTGTAAGATTGAGTTGTACACTTAGTATTATTCTTCATTAAATTAGAATTTTGTATAAACCTTCTTTGCTAGCTATTTATTAATGGTAGAAAGGAAATCCTGAAAAAGCTGAATGCGTAAAATCACAAGCCCTGACCCATTTGAGACAAAATGTGACTCATGCTTCATCAAAACCAATAGATGTGAACAACATTGAACAGTTGATTACAACAATTTCTGATGAAAATAGTGATTGAAAAACTCCAATGCATTGCTTAAACATAGATGGTTAGGGCGAAAATGCATATTACTAACATCCCTGGGTAGCTCAGATGATTAGGACAGGTTTGAAAATAGTATGGATATACGCATAGTCTCAGGTTCGATTTCTCATCTGAACATCTGTGATTTAAGTAGAGGACTGTAATGATGAGTTTTTGCGCTAGTCTTTTCCGAGGTCGAGGTCTACGTAACCGTTTTCATCTTCAAAATTAAAGGAGTTTCCAATCATGTTTAACCTGATAATTTTACAAGTTCATGAGAAGTAAATATATAATTTCCATCCTTTGAACGTTAATAGAAGGATAATCATGTGATATTAGAATTTCTGTCACCCTGTACCTTTGGGTAATAGCTAATGGCAATTTCTCAAAAAAAAAATCCAGATTATGTACATGGACATGTGTAACTCAAACTGTTTTTCGATCAACGTTCAATATGAGACATAAACACAATAACTCTCTCTAATAAGATATAAAATGAAATTGGCAATATCCAACGTTGATCAGTACCATGCACTAATACTTTTAATTAACTTAAAGTTTACATATTAAAAATGTTACATTGTAATTAATTAATTAATCAATGTATTATAAGTTTAATTGTTCTCGGACCATGCATGCATATTTTCTGGATTTAAGTATCTGTTTCTTCAATCATCAACAGACAACGAAACATCAAAAACTGCATTGATATATGCTTGCTGTCTCAAATTAACCTGGCAATTATCATTTAAAATTTCCCAGAATATCAGTTTATAGAGAATACGTAGGCTTTGCAAAGCATTAATACTAGATAATTAATTTATATTAATTTCTAATTGGACCAAGAAAAAATTCATAAGTTTTCATTGTCAGTTTATAGTGTGTGGTATTGATCACAATCACAGTCTTAGTTTCGATTTTCTATTTTAGCATCTGCGATATAAGTAAGTTAGCCTTGGCAATGTGTTACTATGTTAATCTCTTCCAAAAATTGGTCGAGGTGTATATAAGTTGTCCAACACTTTGGTTAAAAAAAAGGGGTATTGATCATCACAACCAACCATTTTAAAACTCAATTATTAGAAGAGATGCAATTTAACGTTTTCAAAGTTTGTATAATTCTACAATATGGATTTATGTTCACTGGAGTCAATAAACAATAATAGACAATGATTTACTTTGTTCGTTATAAAAAATTTTCATTAAAATTTTGTCTTTTAATATTTATAGATGATAATAAAATAAACCAATAAACCGTTATACAACATCAATAAACATGATATAGGATAGTTTGTCGTATAGACTATAACACAATGAATCAATGTCCCTACATGAGGTGTAAATTGTATTTACTATACCTATGAATTTCATTCTCAGAGCTGTAACAGCATCCAGTAGATATTCATGCATTTTCATTTCTAGCCTTAAGTTTACTGAAGGATAATTAAGAATTCATGAGATGGTAAAATTAGGATAGCAGTAGCAGAGAGATGTTGCAGTTTATATGTGAAAATAATTACTTGTAAGAATCCAATTGGCATTACTGCTATTATTACCAAACTCATTGAATGATGGATCCTGGGATGCGAATATCAGTTAGTTGAGGACTGGTAGTTGTTTCTCTCTCATTATTAGTTTCAATCCTCAAAATTAATGTAACCTTCTCCACCCGATATTCCAACCATATATTCTTATCCATTTCTCTTGGTAAGGAAGCCAGCCAGGGTTTCAACTTTTTTTTTTTTGGGATAATCGAGGTGTTCAAACTAGTTTGCGTATATCATAACTAATCTCCGAAATCCCTTAAACACTTTACAAGTCTAAATGACTAGGTAAATCACAATATGGTAAGTAGTCCTAAGGTTCGAACCTAGAAAGTCAATGCAGGAAGCAAACCTCCTTGACCGTCAGACCAGTTCCTTGGGGCTAGAGTTTCAACTTTTATCCATGGTGATATTTAGGTTAATTTCTATCAATATATATCCAAAATAAGTATACCCTACAGGAGTTAGCTTCTATATCTGACCATTATATAGACACACAAATAATCGATGGAATATACATAGTATTCTTAATTTTTTTTTTTTAAATAGATATGATCCACTTTTTGATTCATGAATATTTAATTATTATTATTTTCTAATTTTTATCTTCTCTATTCAAACGTACACAATATATTTATCGTATTAAGAATTGGTCGCTCTGTGATCCCTAATTCATGTTTGATTATATTTTTATAATAAACACGGAAATATTGTTTAAACATTTCCATACGTTGCCTACCATTTTACTTTTTGTGGCTGCATTTCTATTTCACCAAACTTGCAAAATTAGTCTCCATAAATATATATAAATTTGCCAACAGTTGAAGTTTCAATGTTACTGTAATTTATTTGAAGTTTTTTAATCACAAATATCAAATTAAACAAAACCCAAATGGGATTTAATGAATATTATTCAATTTCCCTAAAACAAAACGTGCATGAATTGATCATAATCGATTGATTTAATGAATCCCCACTTGTTTTAGTGTCCTCTTCAAGATCCCTTTCTGCACACACACAGACCACACATGCAAAGAAAGAAAGAGAAAATTATATTAATTATTCAATAACTAAGAAGGGACAAATGGAAGAAGAGGTAGAGAATCTATTCCCTGTTTGAAAGTTACAAGACCTCCATGCAAAGCGAAAATGGTGGGCATTCATGAATGAGTGACACCAAAATCAACAAACATAAACTACCTTTAGGTAGCTTGATGGTTTGCTTAGAATTTTTGCGTATATTACTCAAAAGGTCCTGAGTTTGAATCGTCATGACTATTAATAAGGGGTAGTCATTGAAAACTTACCTGACCGTTAACTTTAGGGTCCCGAGAGATTAACTGAGGTGCATGCAAGTTAGCCTAGATACCCCCAAATACCACCAGAAAAAAAAAAATCAACATACATATATGTGCATCAAAACATATCTCGAATAATAAAATAAAATCTTCTATAGAAAAATGATATTAAACCAGCTGGCCTGCTTTAATTTTATTGCTTGCATGGATTGGAATTTCTAGTTTCTCAGTAGTAGTGTTAGCTTTTCATCCGTCTTCCAAAACTACCATATTTTCAGCTACTCTTCAACAGCGAGCTACCTGTCTCAGAAAAGTTGGATATCTTGAAAAGCCTGATGAATGAATAAATGTTAACAACAGTGTTAAAACAGACTTGTCTTTTTAATGGCGTGGCATCCATATTTGACTCGATTCTCAATGCCAAAACACATACCAGAAAGTTTTTTGATGTTTTCCATCTGTCATGGACCCTGGTATTTTTACCATTGGCCATATACAAGCAAAGCTTGGAGTGTCGTGTTAGGCTTTAAACTTTTTGCTTAGAGATTGGAAATTTCTAATTAAATGTTGGTTTTAATTATTAGACATGGAAGATGTAAATAATTACTATATTTGGAGGTTAATAATTATTCAAACACGTTGAGTTTAATGCATATTCAAAAGAGGTGGATATTAATTAATTGAATGCACTCAACTCACAACTGTCTTTGTGCCAGCTGCTGCAGATTGCTTTCGTTGTTTTTTATTTAAATTTCCATATAGGTCATTTGAAGTTAGTGAAATTTAAGATTATCTGAATCTAATAGAGGGTTATATATATTGTTGTTATGAAAACTCGCAACAACTAAATATATCTGGTCGATCGCGGCATGACTGGGTAGAATATGTATGTGATTAAGATTAATCAGCTAGGAACGGATTCGAGAATCCGTGATGTAAGAACACAAGATGTGTTTAAAGTGGTTTGGCGGGTTTAAATTAACTCTACGTCCACTGTTATATTATTGTTTAGTGTTTGCTTTACACAAAAGGTAATTACAGGGGATAACATGTAAAAATGAGCTAAAAATCTCTCTAAATGATTTCATGTGCTTGTGTGAATAATCCCTCCCAAAACGGAGGTGGTGCATCCCTTTTATACACAACGTCTGACAATGGTTAATAGTTGTTGTTACGGGGCGGATTACACGCAGAATCTCTCGTATCTGGATCTGAGTTAGCCCCAGCCATGCTTAAGTCTGGACACCCATGCAAATTAAAACTTACATTCTTTAATAATAAAGCTAGGAGGATAACATGTAAAAACGAGCTAAAACTCTCTCTAAATGATTTCCTATGCTTGTGTGAATAATCACCTCAAAACGGAGGTGATGCATCCCTTTTATACTATCTGACAGTGGTTGGAAGTTGTTGTTACAAGATGGATTACACGCATAATCTCCTGTAATCTTGATTTGAGTCAGTATCGCCCATGCTTAAGTTTGAACACCCATACAAAATAAAACTTGCATGCTTTAATAATAAAGCTAGGTTGTCTAAAGTGTAAACAAAAGAACAATCCATCTCTCTTTTCAAATGTAGCACTCAAATACTGGTTTGTTTTATTCGTTTTTAACTAGTTAATTCTAATTA